AAGAAACACAAAGTTATCACATAGAAACTGTCGTGTCACATTTAATCAAGAAACACAAAGTTATCACATAGAAACTGTCGTGTCACATTTAATCAAGAAACACAAAGTTATCACATAGAAACTGTCGTGTCACATTTAATTAAGAAACACAAAGTTATCACATAGAAACTGTCGTGTCACATTTAATTAAGAAACACAAAGTTAACACAGAAACTGTTGTGTCACATTTAATTAAATTATGAAACAAAATCATACAACAAAAACATATTGTGTTACATTACATTAAACTAAGAAATATGAAAAGATAAATATAGTTAAAACCGCATAGGCGACGAAAATACAACTAAATAATAAGTTGAACAATTGCCAAGCTGTACGATCTGGCGAAGGGCACTAGCTCGAAACGTCACTCTTCTTTTAATAAATAAATATAATTAGCTTGGCGATGATTGTTTCACCTATTATTTAATTTTGTTAAGAAATATGAAATCCTACTGCTAGAGTATTAATTGAATGAAATTAAGAGGACACTACGAGAATTTTCATTCCTTATTAGATGAATATCTAAAATGCAGAAATAAATGTTCAATTAATAAGAAAGATCTTAGTTAAAGAAAAACATGTTAAATAAAATCAATAAAACAATGTTCAATAATATTTAAATCAATTTTTGCTATTATTACATGAATGCCTTTTCTAAGCTGGTAAAGTACGATTATAATTAATTGTATTTATCATAAGGCATTAGCATTAGGCCTATTGTATTAATGTGGTTGAAATACTACTATTATGAACTATTTTTTAAAAGAAATCCCAAAGGACTGAATAAGGAATATAGTGGCTAATACTAAGGTATTATTACATGTTTAATTTATTATAATCATCTTAATTATTGTTCTAACAAATGGGTTATATAAATATTGTTCAACCCACTATTGCGTTTGTTGTATTCCAACCATCTCCTGGAACTCTTCATTGAGTGAAATACTTTGTCTGCAATCAATATAGCTAACGTAGTGTGGTAGAAATACTATTATACACAGTTCTACTTGAAAAGGCCCCAAAGGACTGAATAAGAAATAGTGTTTGAAAAATATGACAGGCATAATACTTATGTCTAATGACAAATAATTAATTATAAAGATTTTTTTCTCATGAGCGCTTGCTGCGTTTCCCTTTCGTTACACATTTTATTACATAATCTACTCATTTTCTGATCACATTGATAAATTATAAACAGGCTATACGTAAAAAAAAACGTTTTTTTTCGTTTGTATGCTTTTAATCACAAAGCTGCATAGTATTTATACGGCCAGCGCAGGGATAGAACCCCGAATTTAAGTATTGCAACCACTCAAGTTTTTCATCGTTTTAATTTCGTTGTTCTTCCCTTGACGTTGGACATTAGGGGGGGGGGGGAGTGGGCATTATCTGGTATAACGTGCGATTTATTGCTTTTATATTATCTTTTCGTGTTACTTAAGTATGCACGCTCGATTCTAAAGTCAGTTTAGACAATTGTACTGTGATCGAGCTAGTTCCCTGACAGAATAAAAAAAAAAAGAAATTTAGAAATACAGATAATTAGGTAAAACGAATTCCAGTTTTGCATATTAATTATTCAATACATACTATGATAGTTAAAAAAAATTAATTATAATTTTACGTCCCTACCTTTTCTTTCTTTCAAGATTTCGTTATGCTGAAAACAAAAGATAAATACATGAATTTCATCAACTCCTCTATAATAAAACTGAAAACAAAAATAAATACATGAATTTCATCAACTCCTCTATAATAAAACTGAAAACAAAAGATAAATACATGAATTTCATCAACTCCTCTATAATAAAACTGAAAACAAAAGATAAATACATGGATTTCATCAACTCCTCTATAATAAAACTGAAAACAAAAGATAAATACGTGAATTTCATCAACTCCTCTATAATAAAATTGAAAACAAAAGATAAATACATGAATTTCATCAACTCCTCTATAATAAAACTGAAAACAAAAGATAGATACATGAATTTCTTCAACTCCTCTATAATAAAACATTTAAAAAAATGACCAAATAGATGCATAAGAACAATTTCCACAAAAACAGAACATACAGAGAGACAAAAGAAATGCAGGTAATATATAGGAGAAAAACTTTAAAATTTAATATCATTACTTATTATATTTTATTTAACAGATAAATTCACATCTAAAACGAGAGTAAAATGTTTGACATTTTCTTGAAACCAAACAGTTTCTTCTTTAGTGAATTTTTTTATTCTTATCAAAAATGATATTTCGACTTTTATCACGATTGAAGCTATTTAATAGAAAGACCTTAAACTGTGTTTAATTGATTGCACAAGTCTATATAGTCTAATCTTTTGCGAAACTAATATCAAAACCAAACCCCAAATCTTACCGCGTAAACGGCTATATCTAAAAACGCCTGTATTTCTTCACGACTGACTGTTATATTATGCTCGTCTTCCGCTTTTGTTAACGCAGTCTTAAACCAGTCAATCGCATTATCGTAGTGGCCTTGGTTGAAAGAGTTCTTTCCCAAATACAGGCAATCTCGTGCTGTATAATTAAAAGGACACAAAGTTACTTTAAACTTCTAAAACAAAACATATGAACTGCACTCTAAATAGATGAACAAGAAGACATCCATGACCGGTACTTAGTAATCGCTACATGGAACATAGGATTTGACGATATATTTGACAATGAGTTTCTAATATTAACGACTACCTGAATAGACAGCATCCACTGGTACAATTCACAATATAAATAGAAGAAAAGAAATCCCTATTCCTAGAATTGGTAGTAACGAAAACTAGTACACCACAGGAAACCCACAAATATGGTAAAATACCCCAACTATAGATCAAACCACCTCAGAAGCGTAAAGACAGACTGTCCAGTTTCCAGACTGAGCAATATTTGTAATATAGAAGTTACTAAAACATCTGAAGACGAGCACATCAATAAAACCTTCCTTGGCCTAGTGGTTAGGGCACTCGACTCGCAATATTCGGGACGCGGATTAAAATTTTATCATCAAATATGCTCGCCCTTTCACCGGTAGGGAAGTTATAATTTAACGGTTAGTCACACTATTTGTTGGTAAAAGAGTAGCCCAAGAGTTGGCGGTTGGTGGCGTAGACTAGCTGCCTTCCCTCAAGTCTATCACTGCTAAATTAGGGACGACTTTGCGCGAAATTCACAACAAACCAAACAACCTTCCTTGATAATGGATACCCAGAACACTTAATAAAGAATAAGCTGAAGAATATAAACATCAAAAATATGAAGAAAGAAAGTTACAGACGCTGCCATTTTCTCGTATATCAGAGATATCTCTCGAAACACAGATATGTAAACAGCGTTCAGAAGTCACAACACAATACGATCACATCACACACTAAGCCACCCAAAGAACCAATGGAGAATAAGTATAATATCATTACAATATGCCTGGTGAATGTGTAATGCAATACATTAGAGAAACAAAATGACCAACAAACGTTAAAATTCAGGAGCATAATATACACACAGGAATACTATCTCTAATATCCTATCATGCCAGAGCATAAAACCATACAACAAACGGGAATAATACTAATGTAATGAGATATGTGAAATAGACACAAGGAAACGAAGAAACCTTATACATCCTCATAACCAGTTGCACAAAACCAAGATAGGCCTCTTTCAATTATTGGTCGAATGAAGACCTAATGGAGAAAAGACTGGGCAAATGGATAACACATCAGTTTTTATATCAAAAAGATCCAAGATCCACCACCACAGCAGCGAGCGGTCCTTCTTAGAACTTCTCTGAAGATGCAGCCGAAATGTAGAACATAGCCCGGTTAGTAAATAGTACCTGACAGAACAAAATAGTAACTAATCAATAACTAGACTTATGTGATCGTACAAGATATAAACCATGACAACAATTGATATTATTTCTAAACGACCTCCCCATGAATACTAAAATGTTTTAGTTATTGTGTTCCATTTAAATGTTATTTCATATCATTATTATGGAAGAAAAGTGAGATGAAGTTACTAACTTTGATTCTTCAGCACCTTTACCCTCAGTGATTCGGCGGTAAGTCTAAAGTTTATAGTGCTTATAACGCTAAAACTCGGGTCTCGATACCCGCGGCGGCATAGCACAGAGAGCCATTATGTAGCTTTGTTCTTGACAATAAAGAAACAAACCTGCATTACCCTATTTCTGGTTCTACCTTACCTAAAATAATATAGCCATATTTCGACCCCAGTCCTGTAATCTGGCTTATTGTCATTAAAACTGGAAATGTATAAGGACAGTTGTTTACTCTATTATAAACAAACTAAGGTACCCGTCCTTTGTCCGGGTTATAAACTTTACAAATGTTGGAGTAGATGCTATAATAAATAACACAAAAAATCATAGCTTTCGCACAATTTATTTATAACATATTATTACATTATTCATTATTACCTCACCAAAAGTTTTGTATAAGCTTTAAGAACTCACTCACTACTTAAAACATGCTATACACTGTGCGATGGTCAGGATGACTTTGTAGGAAGTGGTCGCGCCGAAAGTAGTGGCTGTGTAAGTGCTTTCTGTTACCAGCTTTCAACACCCACCTCTTAATGTCCTTCCAAAGTGTTTCACGTGTTTAATTAATTGACGGTTATTGATCTCAGAAGTGTCTTACGGGCTGAAGTTGAAAGGTCACGGGTCAAGAAACAGATCTTCACATCAGCCTTATGGTGGCTGTTGGAGTAGTAACATCGGCTGAGTTTATGTATTATTGCATAGTGACGACCATTTTTAAATTGCATTCCTCCGTAGAGAGTGCTGGCGCACACTCTGAGATATATAAGACATTTGCGTGCCCTCCCCGTACACTGTGTGTATGTTGTGTTATAGAAAAGTTAATAATTGTTGTAAGAACGTGGCGCCATATATGAATTTAGTTAACGTTAACTTACGTCAAAAGATAATAAATGCTGAATAACAGCAATAATGGGAAATTGAGGGGTTGTGAACCTCAATTAACATAACCTTTATTATCCAAATTATCATCCCACAAAGTTTGGTTGAGATTGGCCCAGAATACTAGGAGTAGTTAGATAACAGACAGACAGACACACAAATTGTGAACCTCAATTAACATAACCCTTATCATCCCAGAAAGTTTGGTTGAGATTAGTCCAGAATCCAAGCAGTAGTTAGATAACAGACAGACAGACAGACAGACACATTTTTGTGCTTTATGTATATCGAAGATAAAACCAATACAAGCGATGCTTATCATCCCAGAAAGTTTGGTTGAGGTTAGTCCAGAATCTAAGCAGTAGTTAGATAACAGACAGACACATTTTTGTGCTTTATGTATATCGAAGATAAAACCAATACAAGCGATGCTCTGGTAGGCTCATGAGTGTTAGAATACCTAGTAGAGGTAACTATAAATTACAAAAGAAAACTCGAATTTAGTTTACAGACGAGAAAAATATTTTTTTCTTAGTTATATTGTATTTTCGAGACGGAGATTTTATGCGATATTCATTTGTTACTCACATATGATTACATATATTTCTGTGTTTTAATTCATAATCAATATCTACATTTCGGCCTACCTGTCAGTTGTTCTTCTGCTTGAAATGGAGATATCGGACCATTACTTTGCAGAAAGCCTCGAACCATGGCAGACATGTTCAGTTTGTACGTCTCTTGAAGAAGAAGCAGAGCATTAGCAGCGCCGTGAAGATCACTTTCTTGTGGTAAGTAGAACGCAGATCGGAAGTATGATATGTTAGGCACATAATCTGAAACAGGAAAAGCGCTAAATATTCAGCTTGTCCATTAACCATGGAGAGATGCAAGCGTTAACTTCGTAACTTGATGTTCCTGTAACTCACACACCATTGTAACCATCCACATTAAGTGTATTTTATTCATGTCTACTACCTTGACTATTAACCTGTTCCTTTGAAATATTAGTTTGTTTGAACGGATGGAAGACAGACATTAATCAGTCCCCTATCCTAGCAACCCTCGATTAATGTGGTTTTCACCTTCGTTTCATATAAATATGTATACGTATTAGATGCAGATTATATTTTGTTTACAGGAATTGAAAATTTCTAAAGAAATTTGATCAATTTAGAATGCTTAGGTAAATTGTGCTTATCATTGCGTATGTATATTAGGAATATGGACATGTGACGTCACTCAACAGTCTACTCAGTTAGTGTTCTTAAAGTGATACTTATTATTTTCGTAAAGGGGAATCAGTAAATATAAACATATGACGTCTTTCGACACTACTTACTTAGTGTTCTTAAAACGATACTTATCATTACATACGTAAAGAGCAATAAGAAAATAAGAACTTATGACGTCAATCAGCACTATTTCAGCCAGCGTTTTTAAAGTGTTTTTCAACTGTAATATGTGCAGTTTAGAATGACTGACTGGGTTGGGTGCGAAGAATGTGACTTTGATGGAACACAATTGACATTCTTTGAACAACATTATTTATCATATTTGTATATAGTGAATGTAGTTATTTTTATATGATAATGTCTTATTACAGATTGTTTGATATATCACATAAATAACACGAAACATGCAACGTCTGAGTACTCAAGCGCCACTTAACAACGATGCATGTAAACTAGACCTTCAATGAAACATTGAAAATCATAGTTCATACCCTAACTACGCTAGTCGAAAGGAAAATTAACAAATTCCAAAATTTAAGCTATTGTTGACACTCATAATTACTGTTTTTTATTATATGAGTAATTGTGAAATGGTTATTGTTTATCAGTTTTGATGAAACGAGGTACCAGTTGCTTCAGCCTTATAAAAAGCTCCAAAATAAATAATTATTTTATCACCCTCTTTTTTTTTCTGGAGATTAATATTTTAGGTTATCCTCTAAACATTGTACACTACATCTAATGTCCTTGACACTGACCTGGTGTAGCCATGACCTGGGTGCTTTCTTCCACTGCTTTCAAATCGATTGTCATTCGTTTAATTAAAGAGTAAGCCTGGATCGGATTGGCTACATAATCTGCCATCTCGTCTACCTCCTCTCCAACAGATCTTCTACTGTTGATAAATCTGTAACAACAGTTCAACGGCCAATAAAACAACCATACAACATTTCCGATATAAAACAAAAACATAACAATACCCATCTCTCCTTATATTTAATAGAAAAAAATATTTGAAAACAAAACGATATTCAATCTAATTTCACGAATAACGAATTTTTTATTTATTATGCTGATAAACTTCCATAAACAAAAATATGCTTGATTTCAACCCAGACTGTGTTTTCTGCCACGTATTTAGTCAGTTAGAAGACGACCCGAGGATGGAGTTGGTCTCGAAAGTTCACTATGGAAATAGCATCCGTGGTGAAAACTCATCTCAGTTGTCTTTGTTTGCTATGGTTCCTTTCTGGAAGTTTAGAATGCACGTGGGATTTTCATCCATTCGTAGTTCAACAAGAATGAAAGTCAAAGGCTCTAGATCAGGAACTTCATTTCAGATTTCAAAATGGGGCAACTTTTACTGGCGGTTCAGAGTAGCCCCTTTTCTAGATTTATAAAGGGTGTCATCAGGAGTTTCAGATAAGGAAAAAAATCGTTTGTTTTTTTCTATACTACTATGTTTTTGATTTCGTGTGTAGTATGTACATACGTACCTAGGATAGGATTCGTACATACTGATCTCTGTTGGATTGTTTTACGATAGGGCATTTTTACTATATCTATTTAAAACATTGTTTCTGATTTTACCTCCATAATCCAAACAAAAACTCTCACTCTTTCACAAAGTGATGTTCCTGATTCGATCCTTTTTTATTTTACATGTAATCAAATCTAAGCCTCGCGTTTACATCTGTCAGTAATCTCGTGTAACGCTGAAGCAATAGCTTCATATTACTAAACTTCAGCTGTTGGCGATTCTCTTCGTTTAAAAATCACATTAATTTTTATGGAAGTGACAGCGCGATTTATTTGCCTTTTAGTTCTAAATTCGAAGGCATTCGATCAAAAGCTATAAGTCACTTTTATGTCGGACAATGAAGTGTATAACGAATCCTCAGTCGTGATGTTGGAAAAAGTATCGTGTAATGAATCCTCAGTCGTAGGTTGGAAAAATATCGTGTAATTAATCCTTAGTCGTAGGTTGGTAAAAGTGTCGTGTAATGAATCCTTAGTCGTAGGTTGGTAAAAATATCGTGTAATGAATCCTCAGTCGTGAGGTTGGAAAAATATCGTGTAATGAATCCTCAGTCGTAGGTTGGAAAAAATATCGTGTAATTAATCCTCAGTCGTAGGTTGGAAAAAATATCGTGTAATGAATCCTCAGTCGTAGGTTGGAAAAAATATCGTGTAATGAATCCTCAGTCGTGAGGTTGGAAAAATATCGTATAATTAATCCTTAGTCGTAGGTTGGAAAAAAATATCGTGTAATGAATCCTCAGTCGTAGGTTGGAAAAATATCGTGTAATTAATCCTTAGTCGTAGGATGGTAAAAGTGTCGTTTAATGAATCCTCTGTCGTGAGGTTGGAAAAAATATCGTGTAATGAATCCTCAGTCGTAGGTTGGTAAAAGTGTCGTTTAATGAATCCTCTGTCGTGAGGTTGGAAAAAATATCGTGTAATGAATCCTCAGTCGTAGGTTGGAAAAATATCGTGTAATTAATCCTTAGTCGTAGGTTGGTAAAAGTGTCGTGTAATGAATCTTCTGTCGTGATATTGGAAAAAATATCGTGTAATTAATCCTTAGTCGTAGGTTGGTAAAAGTGTCGTGTAATGAATCTTCTGTCGTGATATTGGAAAAAATATCGTGTAATTAATCCTCAGTCGTAGGTTGGTAAAAGTATCGGGTAATGAATCCCCTGTCGTGAAGTTGAACAACGTACCGTACAATGAATCCTCAGTCGTAGGTTGGTAAAAGTATCGGGTAATGAATCCTCAGTCGTAGGTTGGTAAAAGTATCGTGTAATGAATCCCCTGTCGTGAAGTTGAACAACGTACCGTACAATGAATCCTCAGTAAGTATCTACACCAATATATCAATTACTTACTGTTTTATCACTTCGATATGTTTTTCCACCCCTGATACGTAGTCCTGAAGAACATTGATTATTGTATGTTCGGACTGCAAAAGGTTGATCAAACTAGTGGTTGCTGTGAAATACTCGTGAGATACTGCTGCCGTAACAATCAGCAAAATCCCCAATACAGCTGATAGAATCTTCATTCTGTGGGGATAAACATTTGTAGCAAAATAACTCCACGAAAACAAAGCTATCTTTTTCTATATTTATAGACAGAAATACTTACTTTGTTCTCCAGTCATAATTATTATTAATATTTTGTATACTACGAAAGTTTGATTTATCTAAAGTTGTTAAAAATAAAGTCTGTTCGCAAACTAGGTGAGTGTTAAATAATAACATCAATAAAAAAAACGAGTTGTTTTATCACTATCAATCACACGACAAGAACAATGACAGTAACATAAAACCAGTTATTTTATCAATATCAAGTTTTATTAACAACAATAACAAAAACGGCTTTTTTAGCCGTCGTTAACTAAGCGTCAAATATAAGGAAATTAAAAAAAATATTTTACAACTATCAATAGTTAAAAATAACAACATTAACTTTACTACTGCAACGTCACCCATAACGACATTAGCAATTATCAAGTTATTTTACTAATATCAATTACATGTTAACAATAACGACATTAGCAATTATCAAGTTATTTTACTAATATCAATTACATGTTAACAATAACGACATTGAAAACAAATGAATGGTTTTGTCACTACCAGTAACGACGTTAACAACATTATATTTACCACTATAACGATATCAACGTCGAACGAGTTCTTTTGTCACTATCAAGTGTCAATAATAACGAAATCAACAACAAAGCGAGACGTTTTATTATTATCAAGCTTCAGTATAATGACAACAACAACATACGAATTATTTTACCACTATCAATCGTCAATAATAACGATATTAACAACAATCAAGTTGTTTTATCATTATCGAGAGTCAATAATAAAAACACTGGAACACTTACTTAACTGGTTCAGTTCCATATCGGATAAGGAATATTTTCACTAATTTCTAATTTCCAAGTTTTAACTGTATATCTTTCTTACTTCACAGGCAGTTTTTTGAGCTTCAGTATAGTGCGACTGCAGAAGTAATGACTATTATTTATCTTTCATTTTTTAACGTTGATATATTGAAATCAGTTGAGCTTCAGTATAGTGCGACTGCAGAAGTAATGACTATTATTTATCTTTCATTTTTTAACGTTAATATATTGAAATGCTTTCTTAACCTGTGATAAGAATCTTTTCAGATTTATATTTATTTTTCGTATCTTGACACTGGCGTTCTTATATTCAATGTCATGTTCAAAATCTACAGTTATTCTATAGTATTTCAACACCACGGATCTCGTATCGGTTCTTCACTGAAACTTAGTAATACAAGAAACGCACTTTATCATTACAAACTGTTTTTACTTACTTATTAAATCAGAAAATAAGTTTATCTCAGTATTCTTTGAAAGGATAAAAGGCAACAATTTCTATCATTTCCATACAAGGAAAGAGGTACTCGGTCCAGTCTATCAACTTAGAAATATAACATGAACCAATAAAACAGACTTACATAACGTGATTCGTGTTAGAAATATAACATGAATCAATAAAACAAAGTTACAAATCGTGATTCGGGTTAGAAACACAATATAAATCAATAGAACAGACTTACATAACGTGATTCGTTAGAAATACAACATGAATCAATCAAACAAACTTACAAAACGTTATTCGGGTTAGAAACACAATATAAATCAACAGAACAGACTTACATAACTTCGATGACGAGGAACCCACTTTGAGACTAATAATGGCTGGAGACGGCTTGAATGGGTAATGAAGAAAAACTTTAATACAACCACAAATGTACAACGTTCCGACAAGTACCTGATGATGACAACAATATAAATCAACAGAACAGACTTACATAACGTGATTCGTTAGAAATACAACATGAATCAATAAAACAAACTTGCAAAACGTTATTCGGGTTAGAAACAATATTAATCAACAGAACAGACTTACATAACGTGATTCGTTAGAAATACAACAAGAATCAATCAAACAAACTTGCAAAACGTTATTCGGGTTAGAAACACAATATTAATCAACAGAACAGACTTACATAACGTGATTCGTTAGAAATACAACATGAATCAATAAAACAAAGTTACAAATCGTGATTCGAGTTGTGCTACACAATAACAGTTAAATCGTCGCAAGTCTCAACGAATTTTTGTTCTTTCAAAATCAGATGTAAAATTTATAGGATCGCTTTTACAAAAGTAGGAAAGGTATTATATAAATTGATGTATAATTACTTTTCTGAAGGGTGGAGAATTTGTTTTATTACACTTAACAACTACGTTTCAGCGCATTTTCAAAGTAATATTTCTAAACTCTTGTCCCTCAGATATAAAATAAAGCAGCGACCAATTGTTACCGTTAATGAAAACGGATAAAACCTACGAACCAAAAACAAGAGGGAATCCTAAATAGTCGCGGCACTTGAAATTCATTTATGCGGGATTAGATTTACAGTAAATTCATATACGAGACCTTTGTTTCCCTTTTTATTAGCTATACTTTTGTGCGCCAGCAATACCAAGCGTGGGATGCGCGTATACCCGTTTCGATTTTATTACACATCAGGTTCTTTACCAGCCTACCCTCAATTTAATTTTTCTTTTAGGCAGGATTAGAATAAATTAATCTACGAGACCTTGGGCGTGGTGAAATACATAAATCGAAAGAGGTTTGACCTCCCGAGTCCAAAATGGTAATTAGTTCTCAAATCGTGCAAGAGATGATGCAGCTATGAGCTAAAAGTTTGTACTTGAGAGAAAAAAAACAGCCATTCTATGAGTTGCTCAGCCGTGACTAGAAATTTAATTAAGAGAAAAATGACGTAAGTCGCCGTTCTTTGGTATATTTATGTGTATTTTTCTTCCATCTTTAACTTCAGATAAAACACATTTTGACGTGAACTCTTTAACTGTCCACGAGATGCATATGTTCATAAAACACAGCAACGACCAGTTGTCAGACAGTGCAGTCACCTAGTCACTTCTTGACACGGTCAGAGTTCACATTGGAATAGCTGTGGTAAACTAAATTCATATGTGTATTTTACTTTTAAGTTAATACAACGACGAAAACAAAGTTTGAAAATTTTATCCTTATTTGATATATAAATACATTTGTTATTTACTTCAACGTTTTATTGGCATAATTAACTTAGATTTCCCAAAATAAAGAAAATGTGTGTCAATTGGAAAAACTTGTAGACTTGCCTAATGTCAGCAACTGATTTTGTTGAAGCAAATACCGAGGTTCTACGTTACAAGTTGGTTAGTACATTCACCGTCAGTTGTGCTCGTTACACGTGTTAATTAAAAAATGATGATTCACTTTGTTGCTAGAACTCACGGAGAGAATTGTACTAGTTTTTGTTTTTGAATTTTGCGCAAAGCTACACGAGGGCTATCTGCGCTAGCCGTCCCTAATTTAACAGTGTAAGACTAGAGGAAACGCAGCTAGTCATCACCACCCACCGCCAACTCTTGGGCTACTCTTTTACCAACGAATAGTGGGATTGGCCGTCACATTATAACGCCCCCACGGCTGAAAGGGCGAGCATGTTTGGTGGGACGGGGATTCGAACCCGCGACCCTCAGATTGCGAGTCGAGCGCCCCTAACCACCTGGCCATGCCGGGCCGAATTATAGTAGTGACATAAACATACACAAAAAAAGGAAAATGGTGCATGTGTAATTGTAAAACTAGTATATAACTATTTCATGATGTACTGGAGTGAATAACAATTATTTAAAACTGGTATATAACTATTTCATGGTGTACTGGAGTGAATAACAATTATTTAAAACTAGTATATAACTATTTCATGATGTACTGGAGTGAATAACAATTATTTAAAACTGGTATATAACTATTTCATGATCTACTTGAGTGAATAACAACTATTTAAAACTGGTATATAACTATTTCATGATGTACTGGAGTGAATAACAATTATTTAAAACTGGTATATAACTATTTCATGATTTATTGGAGTGAATAACAATTATTCAAAACTGGTATATAACTATTTCATGATCTACTTGAGTGAATAACAATTATTTAAAACTGATATATAACTATTTCATGATCTACTTGAGTGTTTGTTTGTTTTTTTGAATTTCGTGCAAAGCTACACGAGGGCTATCTGCGCTAGCCGTCCCTAATTTAGCAGTGTAAGACTAGAGGGAAGGCAGCTAGTCATCACCACCCACCGCCAACTCTTGGGCTACTATTTTTCCAACGAATAGTGGGATTGACCGTCACATTATAACGTCCCCACGGCTGAAAGGGTGAGCATGTTTGGTGTTTGGGGATTCGAACCCGCGACCCGCAGATTGCGAGTCGAGCACCCTAACCACCTGGCCATGCCGGGCCACCTACTTGAGTGAATAACAATTATTTAAAACTGGTATATAACTATTTCATGATCTACTGGGCTGAATAACAATTATTTAAAACAGGTGTTTTAGTTTTGCTCAGTAATAACTCTCCGTTTTAAGCTCAAGTGACACTGGTAACACGTGATGAGATTCTAGAAGGATCGGGGAACCTCACGAACGTCCCAGCGTTTGCTTGACGCACTCTATTTTAGTATATAAGCCGGCAGATAAATTGCTAACGGAATAATCGAGTCAGGCCGTAAGTAAAGTGTGTAAATCATTGTGAATTATAGCGTGTGTTTAAGTTAAAGTGACTGTGGAAATTCTGTGTATTGCAAAGTAAGAAAGTACTTGTATCGCTGAAGTTCCCCGGGAAGAATTTTTACGGGAAATTAACAAACGACCAGAGATGTAACAATATTAATAACTCGCAGTTCTCGTTCTTTCATTTAGTACATTTCCCAAGATGGCAGCTGTTTGTTAATTTTGATGTATTCTTCAGTTAATTACTTGTTTTCGCGCTCAATACGAGCTCTCGTGACAGGAACTGAAGAACCAGCGCAATGTTTTACTTTTCCAAAAGTAAGAGCTGCATTCGTCTGAAACTTGTAACGATAAACTTAGCAACATTTATATCATGTTACTGTAAGAACTTTCAAAGATTTCACCTTTCGTTATTAAATGCAAGTCTCATTCCGGTGTTTGCTGTATGGTACGCGTGTATTAGATCTTTAACCCTTAAATTACCAACTAGTTTTTAGACCGCTGGACTCCACATGTTGAGTCATTTTACGTTGCCTGTTACAAATACTGTATGAAATGGCGGTGAAATTTGGACTTTTATAGTAATTAGTAGGATTAACTCAATATTGCTGGTGTGTGTGTGTGTGTAACTAATAACTATGAAAGTCATGGACCTAGAAACTATTCAGTGCATTTAATCCCCCTTGATCATTCTGGGTTTATTAGGACCCAATAGCCAAGAAATTCATGGACCCAGAAACTATTCA